ATTGGCCACAATTCACAATATTCATACATTGAAATTAGCGAGCGATTCGTTGCGTCACGATGGTTACATATGATCCGTCTTCAATCGATCTGCACTACTCTGTGTGCAATTGTGCGTGCATATCAAGCTTAATCTCATCAATATATATATTGCTACTGACAGCTTATCCATATACAGATTTATTAACTGAAAACGATAATTTCAAAATTTTCAATTATTTTCGTTTTAGAAAGGATTTTTTATTTAAGTAAGACATTGCTGATGGATATCTTGTCTAATAATAGTTGAGATATGATCATTTTTGAGTCGTTTTGGCTCAAAGTGGTTGGTTAAAGCTTTAAATAGCGAGGTTCACCGCGAAAACCGTGTGAACCTGGTGATGTTGTTGCTACGGTTGCTATTGCACCCGCTTGACCGACCGAGCGCCTTATCCAAGTAATCCCATTCGCCCGCCGATCATTGCGCCCCTCCATGCATCACTGATCTCGGCAACTCGATCTTCTGCTGGTGTTCTGAAAAACCGGATCAAATATTCAGAGAATTCGGAACATTCGGAATGTAGGCAATCCAAAATCCACATAGACGAATATTGCAACATTGAGCTGAAGTTTCAAAACACTCGTATTCCAATCTCGAAAGGAAACATTAACATCTTTTCTTCGAATATCCCATCGCAAAAACATTATTATTGGGCTCCTGCTACGACAGTATCGTGTTTTCACAAGCGTTTGAATCAGTAAAACTAATGTTTCAATTGAACGCGTTATAACTGAAATCACTTTCGCACAGATCCTGTGAAATGAAAATAGCTCATAATCAGATTTAGTAATCAGATTTATTGAGCAGATTTCGGATTTCCTCAAATATCAACCACATAATTCAAGCATTGATATGAAGTGGCTTAAGAAGAAAGTGTTTCAGAAATAAAATACTCAAAAATACATGGTTGAACCCATTTCTTGAGATTGATTCTCGTCACTTTCAAAGCCCATTCATCAATTTACCCAATTGCTCTAGATGAGTGGATCGGTTTGAGATGCTATACCTTTGAACAACTTGAAATCTAGCTGCCGGAATGTGTCCATTATTAGTGGTGGCTTCAGTTGTAGTGTCTGTGCTATCAACCAAATCTTGAATATCTTTCAACGTGTTTGCCGCGTTCACCCCATCTCCAGAAGCACCGTTATTATTGCTGCTGTTGTCGATTTCGTCATCGTTGCTATCGTACGCAGAAGGCTTCATAAACACTCCATAAGGATGACGCAGTGATAAGTCAAAACGTCGGTTGCCCGTCAACGCAGGTAGCCAGTAAAATCTTTCGAATAGTGCATCGCTAGCACTTGCCAAATATATCAAATGTCCAACGATCCATACGGCCATATGCATTATTTCCACGTCAACGTCAGTGTTACGTCTTACTGAACCCTTTGAATTTCGGAACTTTTTTAAGAAATATCAATGGAGCTGGACATCTCCGAAGAATCTCCCGGAGATATCCAGAAATTCATCAGGATATCCACGCAATATGACAAAACGAGCGACCATGAGAGACAATATTAATGTATCGTATATATGTCCTATGAACTGTGTATGTGGCAAAGGGAATTGAACGAGTATGATGACTTTATGGGACAAATAAATGCAAACGCAAAACTCAAAACATGCCATCAAACTGAAAACTTGAATACAATATAGTTCTTGAACTATTTTGCAGTAGATAATTTACCTGGATTACCTGGACTTACCTGGATTGCCTGGATTACCAGTAGATAATTTACATGGATTATTATCCAGGTAATCCAGGTAATAAACTACAGATCTTTTATTTTATTCGTTGAACAAGGAATCTTCTTTAACACAAGTTTACATTTGTGTTCATTCCATAACACAATGATTCTTGAATAATATTGGTAGAGTGCAGCCAGCCGAACGCATTTCATTAAGAATGCGATTAAAAACGATTGCAATCTCGTGAAAGAATCATTTTGCACTGGAATTTTGCTGAATTCCTGCAAAAGTTGAATAAATTACACAGTGGCAATGGAACTCGGATTGAATTGCCGCAGAGATAGACGAAAGTCTGCATTAGTAAGAAGTTGTGCCCAATTGATCGTATGATAATTGAATAGTCGAACAAAACCAACCATCCGGGCTGCACGCCTCATTGTCCACAAGGGAACATTGCTTATTGTTAGAATGAATGCAAGAGAACGAAGCTCATAAACTCACCTCATCGAGCACTTTCTTTTTTCTTACAATTAGTGCATTCTCTAACGCAATTTAAACCATGTTTTCAAGAATAATGCATCAGGGTCGTCGTTCACGTCCAAATGCCATAACTCATAGCAATAACCGTAAATTTTCGTCATCAAAACTGATTAAAAACACTCACTTCATATTCGTAAACTCATAACTCAAAATTTCCTCTAATCAACTTTAATCAAGACAGCAGAACTGGGATGTCCATTTGGCAAGAGACAAACGACAAATGAGCAGGAATAATAATAANGTTGTTCGACAAACGCAAACGCAAAACTCAAAATATCTCATCAACGAATACTTGAATATAATGTAATTCATAAACTCAAATGGCTCTGTAATAGAGATAAATCTCCACAACTAATATCACTTTTCAGTTTCGATCATGTGATGGGAAGTGATGAACATCAAGTTTGGGTACACATATGAGCTATCGCATTACGTAGGCAGCTGCGGACTGACTTGCGATCGCAAGTAATTACGAAGAATCTTGCCCATTAATCGGTCATTCGTGAAATTCGAGCCCGATGAACAACCACACTAGTGAGATGACCTAACAAAATAGTTGCCGAGTATATCGCAGAATCTCAATAGCTTCAGATATCAATATCATTATTAATACCATCGTAACATCATGAAAGGAATTCTTTCATAGTTCGGATTGCGCTAATGATTAATTTGATCTTGCCTCAACCAAAGTGTTCTACTTTTAGCGGAAGTTTTTTACTTTCACAGAATGGCGCATTTTCAGATATTATATTTAACGGAATATAATGTTATAAATCATCGGATCACTGTATTGCAATACAATATTAAATCAGTTACATATTCCAACGAAAACATTATATTATATTCAACAAATTAAAATATAATTTGTCAAATTCAGAAGCATGTGATGTAGCCTGAATACATGAACGCCTAAGTGTTTGACCTCAAAAAATGCTTAAACTCGAAAACTTTTTGAAGTTATCAACTGTGAAAAAATGAATGATAATATCAGTGTGTCTAAGTCAAAAATTTGTAGCCGATAATATTGACATTCAATTTTTATTGTTGTAGTCAAGAGAAACTAGTGTTCTTTGCGGTTGAAACAATAATAAAATGATCAATATCTATGAAATATTTGCGTTCATACATGGAATTTGTTCAGTCAAACTCGAGGAAAGCCCCGTGAAACAAATTAAATCATTCAGGAGAAATGCAAAAGAAGAAAGTAAAATGAACGGTAAGGATATGTTCACTCAACAACCATGAAACTCGGCACCAATTCTAAATATGATATCAAACATCTGACATAATGATTAAGATTGGAAAATCACGAAACAGCACTTTTTTGATTCATAAATTCACGAAAAAAA